TGTAATAATCTACAAAGTTCAGAAAAATATAAAGAAGAAGAAAAACAAAACTCATTGCCCAATCACCCAGGAAAGGTCTATTTAAAAAAAACATAGAGAATTCAATTTGGCCTAAAGTGTTTACGGGTGGTAGTGCCTTAGTCTCTCCTGAGAGTTTCTAAATCTAAATGAATAGTGGTCTTTATACTCCTGAACTGGAAGGAGTGGCTTACTGGTGGACATGTTATTCCATGAAATGAGGTTGCAGGAGAATTTTCTTACGAAGTCTAGGAAGAAGGACCTGTTCACCTTCTTCAAATGAGACCAGTAAGCAGTCACTCACTCTATCTTCTTAGAAATGCATCCTTCTCTTCAAGCTCCCACGTGAAGAAAATGCAATGTAATACTCTTCCCCTATTTCTTCATCCAATAATTCATCTCAGTCCTCACTTCCCACTCTTAGGCAGCTCTCCAGCTTCTCGTGCTGTTTATTAGGGACAGGCCACCCAGTTAGTCTATGTCTTCTCTGAATTCCTATTATACTTCATTGTCTATTCTGCTTGACTCTTTCCAGCCTTGTATTTTTCCTTAGTTGTTTCTTATAAAGAAAGCCAGCCTTTCATCCAGACATGACTCCAAGGGTCAAATCCGTGCCATACATAGGAAAATCTCATTTAATCAGAATGATTGAGGGGGCTTAGGGCAGGTGCACTTTACTATAAATGTGTACTTAAAACTAATATGAGGAGGTTTTTTTTCCTCCAAAATATATGCAAGATAACTGATTCTTATTTTGTGTCTCCATAATAAAGTTTAGAGAATATCATTAAATTTTCCATAATTTTTAAAGAACTTGTAGATTCAGTATTCTGGACAAAGGTTCTCATTTCCAAAAATATTACTGTTAAAGCAGGAATATAAGATCCAAGGTTTCATAATCTCTTTCAGTGTTTATTCCCAAGACAATCTTAAGTCATCATCACTTGAGGTGTCCAAGTCAATAGAAGGATGTTGAAAGGGAGGATGAAAGATAATGTCAGTGAAACAAAAGCAACTCAAAGTCATGGGCAGCTTTACTCACATGATGAGGAAGGATAGCAGGGCACCAGGAGCCCCAGATTAGGGCACTCAGTGCTTTAAGTTTCCCTGAAGGAGGCTCAGCCCTGTACAGTTTTTCATAGGGCAAAGGGTGTTTGTTTGTGATGCTGGATCCCAGAGACTCAACTTTTGACTAGAGGTAAAAACACATTTTATTGCAATTATTCTTTCCCCTCCCCAGCATCTAATCATCTGTTCCCTTGGAAACTCCTCTGGGTAGGTGATTGAGATGATACTGTTGAACATTGTAATGGATGAAAATGTAAAATAAAGATTCAGAGTCTGACACATAAAAAGCATTCGATAAATTTCTAGTGGCTAGATAAATAAGTACACAGGTCTGAATTCCACCTTTGCCTTTAATTTCTGGAGGGACCCTGGAAAGTTCCTTAACCTCACTGAGCTTTAGTGTTCTCATCTGTAAAATGTGTTGCTAGTACCTTCTTTACAGGATTTCTGTGATGATTAAATGAGCTAATTGATATGGTTTGGCTCTGTGTCCCCACCAAATCTCATGTTAAATTATAATCCCCAATGTGAAAGGTGAGGTCTGGTGGGAAGTGATTGAATCACAGGGACAGATTTTTTCCTGAATGGTGTAGTACCATCTCCTTGGTACAGTCCCCACAATAGAGAATGAGTGAGTTTTTGTGAGATCGGATTATTTGAAAGTGTGTGGCTCCTCCCACTCTGCCTCTTCTTGATCCTGCTTCAGCCATGTGAAGTGCCTGCTCCCCCTTCACCTTCTACCATGATTGTAAATTCCTGAGGCCTCCCCAGAAGCCCCCAGTTGCCAGCATCATGCTTCCTGTACAACTTGTGGAACTGCGAGCCAATTAAAACTTGTTTTTTTAATAAATTACTCAGTCTCAGGTATTTCTTTGTAGCAACGTGAGAAAGGACTAATACACTAATGCATGTAAAATATAGAGTACAGTGGGTTTTTGCGTGTGTGCGTTTTCCATTCTTTTAGTTGTTTTCTCTCTCTTTTTTTAACATTAAAATAACTTTTGGCCGGGCGCGGTGGCTCATGCCTGTAATCCCAGCACTTTGGGAGGCTGAGACATGTGGATCACAAGGTCAAGAGATTGAGACTATCCAGGTCAACATGGTGAAACCCCGTCTCTACTAAAAATACAAAAAATTAGCTGGGCATGGTGGTGCATGCCTGTAATCCCAGCTACTCGGGAGGCTGAGGCAGGAGAATTGCCTGAGCCCAGGAGGCGGAGGTTGCAGTGAGCCGAGATTGCGCCATTGCACTCCAGCCTGGGTAACAAGAGCAAAACTCCGTCTCAAAAAAATAAAAATAAAAAATAACTTTTTATTCTAGGTTCAGGGGTACTTGTGCAGGTTTGTAATGTAAGTAAATTGCATTTTGTGAGAATTTGGTATACAGATTATTTCATCACCCAGGTAATAAGCATAGTATCTAATAGGCAGTAGTTCTTTGATCTTCACCCTCCTCCCATTCTCCACCCTCAGGTAGGTCCCCGTGTCTGTGGTTCCCTTCTTTGTGACCACATGTACTTGATGTTTAGTTCCCACTTATAAGTGAGAACATGTGGTATTTGATTTTCTGTTTCTGTGTTAGTTCACTAACTAGCACAGAAGGATGGAGCTGGAGGATAATGGCCTCCAGCTCTATCCATGTTGCCATAAAGAACATAATGTTGTTTTTTTATGACTGTGCTATATGCCATGGTGTATGTGTACCACATTTTCTTTATTCAGTCTACTGTTGATAGGCATTTAGGTTGATTCCATGTGTATGCTGTTGTGAATAGTCTTAAAATCAACATACACGTGCATGTGTCTAAATGATTTGTATTCCCTTGGGTATATACCCAATAATGGGATCGCTGGGTTGAATGATTATTCTGTTTTAAGTTCTTTGAGGAATCTCCAAACTGCTTTCCACAATGGCTGAACTATTTTAAATTCTCATCAGCAGTGTATAAGTGTTGTGTTCTCTTTTCTCCACAACCTCCCCAGCATCTCTTGATTGTTGACTTTTTAATAACAGCCATTCTGACTGGTGTGAGATGGTATCTCATTATGGTTTCCATTTACATTTTTCTAATGAATAGTGATGTTGACCATTTTTCATGTTTGTTGGTCACATGTATTTTTTTTTGAAAAGTGTCTGTTCATGTCCTTTGCCCACTTTTTAATGTTTTCTGTTTGTTTGTTTTTGCCTGTAAATTTAAGCTCCCTATAGATACTGGATATCAGACCTTTGTTGGATGAATAGTTTGTAAATATTTTCCCCCATTCTGTAGGTTGCCTATTTTCTCTGTTGATATTTTCCTTTGCTGTGCAGAAGCTATTTAGTTTAGGTCCCATTTGTCAAGTTTAATTTTTGTCACAGTTGCTATTGGCATCTTCATCATGAAATCTTTCCTAGGTCCTTTGTCCAGAATGGTATTTCCTAGGTTATCTTCCAGAAGTTTTTATATTTTAGGTTTTATATTTAAGTATTTAATTCATCTTGAGTTGATTTTTGTATATGGTGTTAAGAAGGGATACAGTTTCAATCTTCTGCATATGGCTAGCCAGTTATCCTAGCACCATTTAGTGAATAGGGAGTTCTTTACCCATTGCTTGCTTTTGTCGACTTTGTTGAAGATCAGATGGTTGTAGGTGTTCAGCTTTATTTCTGGAGTCTCTATTCTGTTCCATTGATCTATGTGTCTGGTTTTGTACCAGAGTGCAGTGGTTTTTATAAAGTAAAATAGTAGCAACAGTTGAAGTAAGCCCAGTAATAATTGCTATTATTGTTATTTGTAGTATGTAATGCCAGTAAATTAAGACTCCTTTTAGTTATATTTTGATGTGTTGAAATTTGTAGTATACTTTTTTATTGTCACAGTCTGTTTGCCCAGTATAGGTCTGGGTACACTATAGGGCCTCAATAAATGGTTGTTGCTCTATTTTTCTTCTAGGGGCAGAATTTAAATCTGTTCCTTTGATTATTTCTCTAGCCTGTTAGACTCTGTACCCTCCCTCATTATTCACTAGATTATTGCAATGAACTTAATTACTGGTGGCAACAATATTTCATGTATAAAAAAAAGTTAGATAACTTCTTTAATGATGAAATTGCCACTTATGTCCTAAGTGTATTTTGGGGGAATAAATGTTTAATTATTTTAAGATTTGATCTACCCAGTTGGAAGCAATGACCTCTCTAGTGTCTAGTAGAATCTGTGGATCAAGGCCAGGCACGGTGGCTCACGCCTGTAGTCCCAACACTTTGGGAGGCTGAAGCAGGCGGATCACGAGGTCGGGAGATTGATACCATCCTGGCCAACATGAAGAAGCCCTGTCTCTGTTAAAAATATGAAAATTAGCTGGGCATGGTGGTGCATGCCTGTAGTCCCAGCTACTTGAGAGGCGGAGGCAGGAGAATTGCTTGAACCCATGAGGCAGAGGCTGCAGTGAGCCAAGATCACACACCTCTTGGTACTCTAGTTTGGCAACAGAGTGAGACTCCGTCTCAAAAAAAAAAAAAAGAAAAGAAAATGTGGATCAAGCAAACAGTTTCCTTGGGAGAAGACAACCGGTGATGATTTGGATCTGTGTCCCTTCCCAAATGTTATGTCAAATTGTAATCCCCAATATTAGAGGTGGGGCCTGGTGAAGGGTGATTGGATCATGGGGGTGGCTTCCAATGGTTTAGCACTATCCCTGTAGAGCAGTTCTCGCGATAAAGTTCTTATGAGACCTGGTTGTTTAAAAGTGTTTATCATTCTACTATAAGGACACATGCACACGAATGTTTATTGCAGCACTGTTTACAATAGCAAAGACCTGGAATCAACCCAAATGCCCATTGATGATAGACTGGATTGGGAAAATGTGGCACATATACACCATGGAATATTATGCAGCAATCAGAAATGATGAGTTCGTGTCGTTTGTAGGGACATGGATGAATCTAGAGAACATCATTCTCAGCAAACTGACACAAGAACAGAAAATGAAACACCGCATATTCTCACTCATAGGCGGGTGATGAAAAATGAGAACACATGGACACAGAGAGGGGAGTACTAAACACTGGGGTCTATTGGGGGGAAAAGGGGAGGGCCAGTGGGAGGGGGTGGTGGGGAGGGATAGCCTGGGGAGAAACGCCAAATGTGGGTGAAGGGGTGAAAGCAAACAGAACACACTGCCATGTGTGTACCTATGCAACTGTATTGCATGCTCTGCACATGTACCCCAAAACCTAAAATGCAATAAAAAAATAAGAAAAAAAAAAAAGTGTTTATCACCTCCCTGCTGGCCTTGCACCTGCTCTGGCTGTGTAAGACATGCCTGCTCCCCGCTTGCCTTTCGCCATGATTGAAAGTTTCCTAAGGCCTCCCCAGCCATATTTCCTGTACAGCCTATGGAACTGTAGGCCAATTAAACCTCTTTTCTTTATAGATTAACCAGTCTCAGATATTTCTTTATAGTAGTATGAGAATGGACTAATACAATCAGGTTCTGAAGAAACATCTTAATCTGTAAAGTTCTGTCTTTATTTTGCATTTCTTGCTCTTATAATGAACCACACCTCCTGGTATTCATGCTTTTGTGTAGTCCTCATCCTCCTACTTTGATTGTAGGCTTGACCAAGTGACTTACATTGGCCAATGGAATGTTAACAAATACGAGGCAAGCAGAGACTTGATAAACACTTGTACCTGGGAGCATGTCCTCTTGGAAAGCTTTCTCTTGGACTGCAGTCTTCATGCTGTAAATAAGCTCAGGACAGGCCACTAAATGATGAGAGACCATATGGAAAGAGCCTGAATGACAAGAGCCAACTTGGACATTCCTACTTCAGCTGAACTCAGAATTGAATGCAGTACCTGAGTGACCTCAGCTACAGAATATGATACAGATGAACCACACAGCTAATCCCAGGCAACCACATACTTGTGGAATATAACAATACATTGTTGTTTTAAGACATTAGATTTTTGGGGTGTTTCATTTACGTAGCAATATACAATGGCTATATAACCTCTTTCTTCCCTTCTTTCAGGACTCATGGACAGACCAAATGGAAATATCCCCTGATGTATCACCAAAAATACACTGGTGTTCAGAAGAGTCACAGCTCATATTTATCCTGGGAAAAGATCATTCATCTCTTCAAATGCCTTCACTTTAAAAATGTAAATACTGAGGCTCACAGAGTGTAATGTCTTCGGATTCAGCATCCAATGCTCTTTCTATGAAAAGCTCTGAAAATATCTTTAGTTTCAGAGAGAATTTCAGACCACAATCACGTCATAATATCCAACTTCTACATGGAAGTTTCTACCTGCTCACACAACAATCCTTATTGACTGGATGGATTCTTTTCTAATATGAACCAGAAATCAGAATATCCTAATGAGCGTCATGCTGGCCATGGAAATTAAAAGCTAACTTAGCCCAGGAAATGCAAATAAGATGCTGGCAAAAATACAAGTGGATATCTTAAAAAGAATAAAGATGCAATTCCTACTGATTCTTGCTAAAAGTTACACAGCCTTTTATAAGTTCAAATTATGCCTCACCCAGTTCTGCAAACCCACTCATTCAGCACCTATCAATTGGGCACTGCCTTTGTGCCAGGTACTGTGGTGGATGCTAGGAATCTACTGTGAACAAGACAGTCCTTGCCCCCAAGAGAAAGTAACGTGAAGTTTCAGTGACTCATTCAGGGTCGTATAGCTAGTCAGTGACAGATCTGGGGTTATACACAAGAGATGGTCTGGTCTCCCTAGTGGCTGCCAAACATGTACCTGATGGCACTCTGGAATTGTTGTGTACTCTTAAATTTATTAACTATGATCTCAACAGGGGATATTTTCCTTGGGCGTCTTTTAAGATTAAAGTTGTGATTTCTGAGGCTTTGCCATAATTTACTCTTTCTAATACTCTCCTTTTTATGTCAAGACAAGTTTTCCTATAGATTAGATTCAGCTTTTCTCTTCTAATTCATTGAGGCAGGAGTATAATCTGTGTTATAGTGTTATACTTGCATTCCTGAGAAGTCTTTTTATATAAATCACTTTAAAAATAATTATTTCAAAGAGTAAATAGGGGATTTGGGGCTGGGCCATTTCAACTCACAAGGATAATTTTGCCTGCAGGCATTTCAATAATACTGGTTTTTTGTTTTTTTTTTTATAGCTTTAAGTCTATAGATATAAAGCTAAATATCCCTGGGCAAATCCAGCCTTGATTACATCTTGCTTTTGATCAAGAGGAATGGGCTTTGTTTTCCTATCCTCCCAAGACTATGACTGGCACAAAGCTTTTTAGTCATTTTTATCACATTTATCACCCATTGTTGGATAAACATATCACAAAGCCACTCAAACAAAGAAGCTGAGAGCAAGTTTTTTCCCCCTTGTCTGATATAATGTTAGTTCTAGCATTATAACCATGTGTATCATAAAAAATCATATGTCCCATTATTTATTTGACAAATATTTTTGATGCCTACCTAGTGATAGGCATTGAACTAGGCAATGGGGATATACTGGTAATAAATAAGATAGACAAGTTCCTGTTGTCATGGAGCTTCCATTTCAGTAGAGGAGATGGTCCATAAACAGATTAACAAACATACAATATCATGTCACCTAATGGTAAGTTGTATGGAGCAAACCATGATAGGATCAGAAAATAGCCAGTAGCCAGATTATGCTAAGCCTCAGGAGTCATTGCAAGTACTTTGGATTTCATTCTGAGTGTGATGGAAACCATTAGGAGTTTTTGAACAGGAGAATGGCATAGTATGATTTGCATTCTAGAAAACCTACTCTGGCTGCTGTAGAATAGACTCTAGAAGAAAGTTAGAAAGAAAGATAGCTGGGGAGAACTAGGAGGCTGGTGTAGCCTGAATTCCTTTAAAGAACCAAGCTTGAGACAAGAGCTTGTGTGTAGCAGTTTATTTTAGGAAGTTATTGAAGGAATAGAAGTGGAGGAAAAGATAGTGTTAGACAAGAAAGGAGGCGAAGTCAATCTGGTGGTATGGAAGATGCTGATAAACTCTGTAGGGCTCTGAGCCACTGGTAATCCTCTAAGAGGTCAGGTGGGAATACAGCTCTGATGTGCTCAGCTCCTGCCTCACATTGGTCCAGGCTGCCCACAGGGATAACTCCCTTGCACTGAGGGATGAGGCCGACTGAAGCAGAATGACTGAGCAATCCCCATAGGCATCCCACACTTTAAACAGCAGTGACAGAAGCAGTTCTGTGAAACAGCTGAGACTCAGTGAAGGCCAGTTATATGCAAGAGGTATCCAGTATAGATAAGCTGGTAGCATGCGAGATGATGGGAGGTTGGAGTTGGATGGCAGTGGAGAGGTGGTGAGGACTGGACAGATGCCCAGGTAATATAGTTTGGATTTATGTCCCTGAGTATATCTCATGTCAAATTGTTATACCCAGTATTGCAGGAGGGGCCTGGTGGGAAGTGGGGGCATATTTACCCCTTGCTTTTCTTGTGATAGTGAGTTCTCATGAGATGTGCTTGTTTAAAAGTGTGTAGTGCTGCCCGTTTCTCTCTCTTTCCCCTGCCCCAGCCATGTAAGATATACTTCCTTCCTCTTTCCCCTCTGCCATGTTTGTAAGTTTCCTGAGACCTCCCCAGCCTGTACAGCCTGTAGAACTGTGAGTCAATTAAACTTCTTTTCTTTATAAATTACCCAGCCTCAGGTAGTTTTTTATAGCAATGCAAGAGTGGACTAAGACATCAGGTTACATCCAAATTACTCAGTGAAAATTTGTACTGGAATAGAAATATCTATATTTTCATAGTGAGGACAAGCCAATAATTTCATAATTACTTGTCTCTATGATGTTGTATTAATCCATTTTCATGCTGCTGATAAAGACATACCTGAGACTGGGCAATTTACAACAGAAAGAGGTTTATTTGGAATTATAGTTCCATGTGGCTGTGGAAGCCTCCCAATCATGGCAGAAGACAAGGAAGACCAAGTCATGTCTTACATGGGTGGCAACAGACAAAGAGAGAGAGCTTATGCAGGGGTACTCCTCCTTTCTTTAAAACCATCAGATCTCATGAGACTTAGTCACTATCATGAGAACAGCATGGGAAAAACTTGCCCCATGATTCAGTTACCTCCCACAAGGTCCCTCCCACAACATGTGTAAATTCAAGATGAGATTTGGATGGGGACACAGCCAAGCCATATTAGATATTGCCTTCATTCCATAGCCCTGTTCTCATTCATACTCATACAATTACCTATTTTGGGAGCATCAAAGTTTAACATTTACAGCAAGGAAACTGATGAATGAAGAGTAAAAAACCACAAGAAAAAATAAGGTAACTATGAAAGGTGATAAATATGTTATTTGCTTGATCTAACATTGCACTATGTATGTGAATATCAAAACATCATGTATGCCTTAAATATATACAGTAAAAATAAATTAATTGAAAAAAGATTCAAGAACCCACAAAGTCTCTGTAGCCTTAGATGTCTTCTGTGTATAATATATTTGATAGATTATAGAGTCAAAGGAAGGTGAAGTAATGGGAACAAGCTTGAACTTGCTATTTTTTTGGACAGGAAAATGCATTTTGGTTTAGACAAATGTCTGAAAGAGTAGAGACTTATGGGCAATGTCAAAAATGTCTGTTTAAAAGTCAAAAACAAAAGATTATCCCTGCATTGGTCATGGTTATTCAAGTTTCTTATATCATGCTAACCCAAGGCCAGAAACACAATTTTCATGGCACAAAACTCAACATTTTGAAAAATAGTATGTGTTGGAGTGTTTCTCAGGAAAAGAGGAACATCTGTAACTTGTCAAAAAATATTTCCTTGTTGAGGAAGGTGCCTAGGAGAGTGATTCTGGAGAACAGCAATCCAAAGAATGCTGCCAAAACCCTCAGTAAAGAGGTTCAGTGGAAATGCATTATGGTGTCAGAGGTAGCTGTGCATCTCCTGGGAAATATTTCAGAGTGTTTTCATAGAAGCATTGTCTCTCTTGCCTAGAACCTGGCCCTTCTGCATTTTTGTCATTCTCTACAGTCACTGTAAGCTTTCTGTTTACACTCACTTAGGCAAAGTGACTATAATACTGCTAATAGTAATAATCTCCATTTAATGAGTCCTCTTTTGTACAAGCACTATGCCAATCCCTATGCATACATATGCATTGATAAGAACAAATGTGGCCGGGCGCAGTGGCTCACGCCTGTAATCCCAGCACTTTGGGAGGCTGAGGTGGGTGGATCACGAGGTCAAGATATCGAGACTATCCTGGTCAACATGGTGAAACCCCGTCTCTACTAAAGATACAAAAAATTAGCTGGGCATGGTGGCACATGCCTGTAATCCCAGCTACTCAGGAGGCTGAGGCAGGAGAATTGCCTGAACCCAGGAGGCGGAGGTTGCGGTGAACCAAGATCATGCCATTGCACTCCAGCCTGAGTAACAAGAGCGAAACTCCGTCTCAAAAAAAAAAAGAACAAATGTTTTCTTGGTTGATGATGTGAGAATTCTTTGTGGATAGAGATACTTTTTTTGCTGAAAAGTTAGTTTCTTCAACCCACTGAGGTAGAGAAGGAAACCTCTGGGGCTTGGGAGGGGCAGGCTTAAAATAAGGAGGGATCTTTTTAGTAGAAAGTGGGGCAAAAGGAACTGAAAGAAGATACTAGCTTGCTATACATGAAGGGTGAGGAAAGAACTGGCACCACATGGCTAAAACCAGGAGAAGTGGCTTGAGAATAAAATTTGTCTGATGGGGACTCCTTTGAGTAAACCATTTGTACTCCTTGTTCACTGAGTCCTCCTGGTGAAAGTCATGCCTTTAAGTGAAAGTGCTGTCTTTGGACATGGAACTGAGGCACCAAGGGCTTTGTAGATATGGAGGAGAGAAGCTAACTGGTTTACTCTCAAAAGGCAATGGAGTGAGTGGTTAATAGCATGGATTTGAATCCTACCTCTAATGCGTTTTGGTTTTTCTCCACTTGCAAGTACTGGTCCATTCTGGGCCCTATTCT